AATCGGGTCACAGTGACAGGACACACACTGACAGACGCATGACATTCTGTCTCAATCTGTCCCCCTGCTGATATTCTGCATTCCGTATTCTGCGCTTCAGGCTGTGTGTGAGTATGCGCGTATGTGTGTGCATGTGGGGGGTCTTGTTCTGTGTGAAAACGAAGCAGTACAAGTGATAATGCTGCAGGATTTCATAATTTTATCCTTCTCGGCAGCAGCACTGCAGGTGCTCTCCATGTCCAAAATGTGCGTAAGCAAGGTCCTTATTCAACTCAAAGTTGCGCACATTTTTCCGCTAAGTTTTCTTTCATAAATCCCAAAGTTTGCGTGGAAACTTGCTTACGCAGTTTTCCGACCCCGTTTTGTGCGTAAGCAAGCTTGATAAACGAGGTCCCAGATCATTAGTAGCTGTTAAAAGTATTTAGCTTACTCACCTCAGACTGGGGCCCTACATTTCCGTCAGGACGAGGCAGCAGAGTCGGTGGGTTTCGATTAATTCGTGGAAGAGCCACGGAGGGGACGGCGTCGCTCTTCAAACGGAGACGTTGAGCATAGCCCAGTTCAAACTCCATCAAGTTTTCGTAGGAATCGCGGGTAAAATGATTTTTGCAAACTCGAGCATCAATCGGGACTTCGCTGTTTTCCGCAGCGCCGATTGCGCGTAACCACTGGCGCCTAATTTCTAAATCCAGTGGAAACAAGTGCAAACCCACAGCGCCTCCGCAACCCACTACGATACACTTTCTTCCCATGCTAACACAGTTGTAGACACTTCACTAAAGTTGGCTGCTAGATACTCAGATTCGATTTTCACGGCTCTATTACCACAAACGTATGTGACCAAAACAAACCATCTGCTTCTCGCGTCATTGAACTGCGACGAGTGCTCAGGGACCGTCTGCAAATAGACACACCAGAAACGGCTTATTAGAATGACATGAAAAAACTCCGCACACACCTGTACACTGCAACGTGACCACATTCATAAAGCGTAACACTGATCATACTACACCAGTTGTTTTAATCCAGAAATATATTTTTGATTTTTAGTGAAAATTAAAATGTTGTAAATGTCAGTACCTCCTCATGAGTGACACCAAATTCACAGCAAATCACCTAAGCAGATCATACAACTTTTACTTTTGATGAAATAGATTTTAATGAATTATGGTGAATTTATATTTTTAATTACGTTTAATAGCTACTTTATTGTGCACTGTAGTGACACCACCTACCAGCTCTCCACACCTATTATAACTATTATTTTCCAGATTTGTTATCATTTTAAATATCTCCTCCATTTTTTGTAGTGACTCCAAAATTACACAGCTGATCACCACTTGGATGCTGATCATCATACAACCCTGTTAGATTTCATAAAAATTATTTTTCCATTTTTGTGAATTTCTTTTGATGTTCAAACGCATCTCTATTGTAGTGTAGTGACTCCAAATGCACACAGCTGATCACAACTTACATGCTCCCCATTCTACCTTTCACATTTTTTGAAAAATTATTTCTGATTATTGGTGACATTTCTTATTCTTAGAATTTTCAAAGGCTCCTACATTGTAAATTATACCTCTACCACTGACTTGCACCATGGGTGTTTTATCTCCACAAATAACACATGACTGGAGGAGTTTCTGCTGTGTGGTGGTGCTATTAATGCTAACGGTTAGCTTAAACTAGTCGGGATGCCCTCTGGACAGCCTTCCCCATCACGAGTCAAGATCGGTGAGTCTATGAATGCTAATATAGTGTGAAGTAGCTCTGTGAGGATTTTCTAATCCTGGAGTTTCACTGTCTATTTTCTATCAGAAGCTAAAGCAGGAGATATGTGTAGGAGACTGTTTTCATGTTCAGCCTGCATGAAAAACTCAGACCGAATATAGTCAGGAAAAAAAAAACATTTGTAAACTTTCAACGATTATTCTATCAATACACTTTACCACAGAAACAACATTCAGTTTTTATCATGTTTATTTTTGTGAGGTGACATCGGTTATTTATTTTGGGGGGGTTATAAATTAAATGTATTATTATTAAAATGCAAAAAACTGTTTGTTAGATGGGTGACTTTTGAAAAATAAATAAAAAGAAAAACAACCATAGAGAACTACACAAATTCTAAATTGTGATACTCAGTTGTATATTGCTAATAGAGTCACACTTTTAAGATCACAGAAAAGTCTGTTGGCACTTGACAAATTTCTTTCATTTGTCTACCCAAAGAGTCCTTATGGCATGCTTTTATTTGTGTGCATTATGCTCAAGTTTCTTCTTCAGCAACCATCCTTTCAATGGCCGCCCAGTCTATTTTGCTGAGGGTGCTTCCCGCGCTCCCAGAGAGATTATCCAGCCAGCCCACCTCTGAAACACCACCTGTGACACCATCGTTCTCGGCACCCAAAAGCTCGGCCAAAACCTGAGACACGCACAGTAATGTGGTGATGACAAAAGAAATAAGTTATTGGTCAATAGGTTTAACCCTCCCACTGTCCTAATGGGTGTGACCCCGCGAGGAAAGTTGACCATTGAGCAGGGTTGATGGTCTATCCCTTGGGTCCATGTGGCAGGGGTGAGGAGTGAGCACCACCTCACCCCTGCCACATGGACCTCAAGGGATAAACCATCAATCCTGCTCACTGGTCAACTTTCCTCGCAGGGTCACACCCATTAGGACAGTGGGAGGGTTAAAAGGAAAATAAAGATTTTTGTTTACAACAATTAAACTAACTTTGATCCAAAACAACAATTAAAAAAAACAACTATGGGTTAATATCAATGGGATTTTTACCACATCGGACTCATCCAGATGCTGTGGCTGGCTCAGTTCTATGTGGTCCATCACCTCTGTTTCTTCTACTTGTGTGTGCTCTTTTGGGATGAGTCTTCCTGAAGCAGCTCCACTTGAAAATGTTTTGTTTAGCTCCACCATCCTCTGGTTTCCATCACGCTGCCTCTCATTCTGGCTAGCTGCATGTTTAGATTGGCTTCTGGGATTGCTGAGCATACCACGCCTGGTTACCTGAGACAGCCGGTCCTTTGGCAAAAAGGTCACTAAGGCAAAAGAAAAAATGCTAATTTAATATTGATTTTTACAGATACAAATAGAAACTTGAATGTTCGAGGATGTGAGTAATACCAGGTCGATAAAGTCCCAGTCTCCTGTGGAGGTCTTCTAAATACCGCTCTACGAGCTGTGGACGATGGAGTGGAGACAGTTGTCCAGAATGAGAACTAAGACGTCTATTATCACCAACAGCTGCAGTACGAGCCCTTAAAGAAAACATGATTACGTCCTTTAGAGAATAAATACAATTAAACTGTGGGTGCTCTAAACATTGTATAATTTACACATGATGGGACTGAAGGTGTGTGGCAAGAATTGGATACTAAAATACACTGCTGTGGCAAAAAAAAAAAAAAAAAGATTTAATTCTGGTTCGGTTTTGCACGAGAAGATACCTGTAAGCAAGAGGTGGAGCAGAAGGAGGCCTCGTGCTGGAGCGCACTGGAGGACCATCGGTCCGCGAAAACCTGCACTCGTTTTCAGGAGAGGTGAGGAAGTCAGCGACCAAAGAACAAGCCTCGCTTGTCCTCCGATTATACTGCTTCAGAAGCATGATCCTTTTAAATAAGTAGAAATAACAGCTTATAAATTCATGTATCATTTTTAGGGTTTGGTGTTTTTTTGCATCAAGATACCTACTTTTCTTTTTCCTTTCTGGTTCTCTCATCAGTGCCTTGATTTCTGCTTACAGATCGCTGCAGAAAGGAGGCAAACAACAATGGTTAAATGACCCAAAATGCAGAAAATAAACAGAATCTTTTCAAAACAAAGAGGCAACCACATCTCACCCCCGCTGGAGTGGAAGAAAAAGGTTTGTGCTCCATTTGTCTCAGGTTCTCCCTGTGTTTCTGATAAGCTGCCAGTCTTTCTCGCTGTTTCCTTCTCATCCAGATCCTCAGCTCCTTCCTTTGATCCCCTGGAAGGTCAGGCTTCTGTGAGGTCCAGCTACTCTGCTGCAGGTCCTGCCTGTTGTAGGCCCATGCATTTATCAGCCCAGCATTTATTATGCTTGTGGAAGCACTTAAAACGCAAAGTTTGAATTGTACCTGCTATGGCATTCAATTGATGAGGTGGATGAATTCCAGTCAGTAGAGGAAAGATAGCCTTCCTTCACCAACTCGTCTAGGATTTCTAACGTATCGGATAACTCCGTTTCACCCAGGTTCTCATCTGTCGATCTATAGATGAGAGGTAAGTACTGAGAAGAGGAGGTTGTTTTAAAAATAAACACATCAGGTTGACTGAAACTTACTCATGCCATATCTTGTGTGTCTCACTGAAGTGATTTCTCTTTCCTGTAGGGGCAAGATGACAGGTTTCTAATATCAGGTAGTGAAGCAGACATCCTGACAAATCAGCAAAACATATAAACTTTGTTCCTAAATTCAGCAAAAACACTAATCTAATCAACAAAAATGTCAAGAGTAAATATTGTGATTTCACCTTGAGGGGTGTGAAGGGAGGATGGACCAGCCCTCTGGCTTAGAGACGTGGAGCCATGACGAAGCACATGCTCTTCGTTCTTCTCCTCGTAGGTCTTTGGTTCGGTTACATGGTCTGAATTAGATCTTGGTGTCCACGCTGTTACAGATAATAACAAAGATGTACAGGGATTGTTCCCATGACTGCAGCTCCAGTATCACACCAGAACCTCCTTGGATGTGCATTTTTTCTACTAAGACATAAAGTGACGTAAATCAGGTGATTTTGTCCTACCTTCCACTGGGACTGTGAGTCTCACTGTCTTCTTTACTGGTGCGGTTGTCCTCACTTTAGGTGTCCTGTCTGAGGAGAGCGTTTCAATTTTGTTCACCAGCTACACAGGGCCAAAGGAAAGACAGAAAGCAAGGATTCTTCATGATTTCTTTCATAAACCTATTTGAAAGCAGTGAAGGAATGTAACATTCTTACGTTTACGTACCGGACTCATCTGAGCTCAGCCCAGTGCTTACTTATGTTCTCAAGTATGTGTGTGTGTGTATGTGGGTATGTGTGTGTCACTGGGTTGGGGGAGGGTTTTTTAATTGTAAATTACATTTGTGGGATATGTGTGGTCTTTTTAATCTGTAAAGCACTTTGAGTTACATTTTTTGTATGAAAAGCACTTTATAAAGTTTCATGACGATAACAAAGTACAAGTACTCCATTACTGTACTTAAAGCAGCAATCTGGAGTTTACCCTCTTTCAGGAAAAATTAAGGATATTTTAGAAATCTGTAAAAGCCTCTACTGCGTAGGCAATGTGTCAGTTTATTTTGTTTTGCTAAGCCCGCCCCCGTCTAATAGAGCCTCATGCAATTTCAACTGACTGCCGCTCAGCATCAGCAAATAGTGTTAGACACCTGCATACATGGTTACGTCAATCACAGTGTCCGCGTGTTTGTGGACATACCTAGACAGATGCAGAGCTGGCAAACTTTCTCATGGACAACTAAGTAAAAATGAATTAAATTAAATTATATATATGTATATATGAATTAACAGCACAATGTGAGAATAATAAATGATAAATAATGTGTTTTTGCTATTTGTGCATCGACATACACATACAGTAGTATTTGTAGTAGGGAGAGGGACTACACTTTGCTGCCTCTAGATGGAGCTCTACGGACACAAAACCTGATTTCTGCTTTAAATACAAATTTTCTGTATTTGTACTTAAGTAACTTTATTGAGGCCTACTTTTACTTTACTACGTAAAAGTACTTTAACATTAATTTTGGCAGCACACTCTTGTCCATCCTGTACTGCAATTCAAAAGGTTATAATACTTTAACACGTCTACACACACAACGCATACTTAAATGTTAGTTGAATACTATAACGTAATATTGTTTTACCCCTTTATCTGTACTTTTATTTTAGTAGAAAAAATCAGGTACTTCTTCCATCCCTGCCTGAAAGAAAAATGAAAGCAGCTCAAGTCTGAAACTAGCTTGTGTACCATTCTGGAGTTTGAGAAGTCCCTCTCAAGATGATCAGCAATGTTTTGTAGATCAGCCAACTGAGCATCCAGCTCCAACAGGCGAGAGGAGAACCAGACTGAAGGAGTTGAGGAGGTGGTTCGGTTATGAAGGAGACTCTGAGTCTTTATGGCTCGGCAGATTTCAGAATCAGGAGATTCTAGCGTCACGTCCTCTTGCGGACTGAGTCTCTCTGAAACTCTGTGGGGCTCATAGTGACTTAACAGAGGAGGCTCCTCAGGGATGTCTGGAGTTCACAAAGATGTTTGGAAAGGAAGCAGATGGGATTCAGCATAAAGGCATAAATAAATGAAACCTTTCTGATGAAAGTAAAATGACCTGTGGACGTGCGAGGCTTGGGGCCATCCTCTTGAGCTGGGACTGAAGGTCGTGGCTCAGCACCAGCAGCTCTGATGGCAGCCGTAGGAAGAACGTGAAGCTGAGCGGAAGTAGGCGAGGAAGGAACATGCTGTGCTTCGGTGCTGGGCTGTGGTGGCAAAGTTTCACACTGGAGTGGGTCTTCTAGATCCAAGACACTGAAGAACTGGCGACCACCCGCATCCTAAAAAATATAAATAAATAAAACATCAATACAAACAACGACATCGTGACCTAATAAAAATTGTAATATTTCTTGATTTTATAGCACAAGTTTTAGCCCCTAGAATCAGTACAGCTTCATTTGTGATAAAAACGGCGGACTTTACCAAAATCTCCTCTGTGTCTCGAACAGGAACTTCACTGAACATCTGAAAAATCCCTGGACTTTGTGCTAGAAATGAAACAAAACCTATTCAAATAAACAATGTTTTGACAATAATCGCTTAAATCACATTCATTCCGACAAAAACTAACCAATAAACAAGCAGAACGTTATCATTTACACCAGCTTACCTCTAGGGCTGCCAGCCATCACCGAGGACTGGACAGAAACAGCTTTATCCACAAACACGGGTGGATGGGCTAAAAGGAAAAACAATCAAGTTCATGGATGAAAACGTAAGACTTCATGTTTTGGGGTGGTTTAGTTAAAAAATAAGTACAAGATTTCTGACAGATCAACAGTTAAGAGTCTACTAAAGACCTAGTAAACGCCATGCACTATACTGACACCCCCGACTGACCTTGATCTGTGTTGGTAGAAGCATCGTGGCGCTCTGGGTGTTGTTTACATGTGGAGGCAAAGGCGTGGAGCTCGGCCGAAGTAAAATAAACCTGGTCCAGTAATCTCTGACCAGTCTGCAAAGAGGAGGAGGATCCTGGAAGTCAAAGAAGGGGATCAGAACTTTGAAATGTTCCTGATTTTTTGATCAATAAAACAAATTATCACCAGAAGTAAGTGCATGAATAATGGAAAGCAATCTGGGTGCTTTGAAAAGAGCTCAATAAAAATGTTTATTATTTATATAGTACAGAGTATATAAAAGTTGCCAAAAAGTTTCTGTGTGAAATTCTTTGAAAAGGTTTCATGATGTTCTGTCAGCAAAATGTCAGACTTGCCTTTTTCTTTGTTTATTTAATCCAACTGATGAGGATTCAGAGAAACCCCGCTCTTTGACACTTTAAGTTTATGAGCAGGAATTTGGGCAGCTTTCTGAGAAAAGTATGTGATGTATCGTCACCTGTGATGTCATGTCCAGGAGTGATCACTTCAGCAACGGCAGGCTCTTCATGCACAGGAACATCTTCTGCCTGAAAACAAGGAAATAATCAAAAAAAAGTTGTGCAGCAACATTCTTTTAACCTCTAATAATAGTGAGTCTCCTGCACCTCTTGTGTTAGAATGATAGAGTCGTTTGGACGGAACGTGACCTCCTTTTTTCTGCCCTTTTCCCTTTCTTCTCTCCTCTTTTGTCTTTAAACACAAAGTAAAAATGCTTAGTAAAATCGTCTGTATGTAAAAAAAAACAAAAAAAAAAAAACAATAGCGTCAGCAAGAAAACTAAAAAATGATTGCCTCTTGCTGGACGAGCTGGTTGGCCTTCCAGTGGTTTCAGTAGATGGATCCACTCTAAGTAGCTGGAGCTCCGCCTCATCGGCGTCTCGCCGCAAAAACTTTGAGCTTGTTAACTCCTCCATGGAGGGAAGACGAGTTATTTGTGTTGGAGGAACCGCCTGAGGCCTCACCTGAGATGAATACAAATTACACATGAACTCACTTAACAACATTTAATTAAAACAAAAACAAATCTTAAAGAGCAAGTCACCCCCTACAAGAAACTTACTCCACTCCCACTTCCTGTTTGAAAAATGCAACAAATGCTGTTGCCTGGCAGACCGAGGGCGGAGCCGCTAACAAATACAAACAGGCTCACAGCAGCATTGTGACATCATAATGTACCAGCTAACGTCACTGTGTACCTCTTAGCCAATAGCGATGGCAGATTGAAATTCTAATGTAGTGCAGAGTTTTTACCTGACGACGCAACACTGACAGTTTTAGGAAAAATATTTAAATTGTAACTAAGATGCTCTAAAGTGCCAAATTATTATTTAGACATATCTACAGCATGATTAGACACTAATTTATAGTTTTGCAGCAAAAAAAAAGTAGATTTGGGGTGGCTTGCTCTTTAAAGAATTGAAAGGACTGATTACCATTTGGGGTCCAGACTCTATATGTAGAAGCTTAGTCATAGGTGCTCCTGTAAGTGGAACTGACAGGACAGCAGGCCTAGAGATAAATGGCTGAGTTAGTCTGGGAAAGCTGATGTTGCTTTGTGGAACGTGCTGCAGCTGCAACAGGCGAGCTGGAACTGTAAGATGAGGTAGAGAGTTCCTGGGAGGAGGATCCGGTGGAGGATTAAACTGGAGATGTCTGGCTGGAACTGAAAAGTCGTTTCTCTGCTCTCCACCCCTCTTCTTCCAAGTGGCTGGATCATTGGGCTGGAAGGACCCAATGGTTTTATGACTAGCAGAGTGCAGCATCTGTGGCTGCTGCGCAGGTGGATACTGTGGAGAGCGGTCCTGGGACTTCACAGGAGGATGAAGTCTGAGCAACTTCAGGCCCAACGTCTGTGAGGCAGAGACATTCTGAGCACTGCTAACAGGAGGGACTAACATAGGAGGGTTTTGAATAGCAGAACTAGAGTCAGTAGTGGCTAGAAGGCCTTGTGAAGAGGGGATCAACCTCTCCTTCACCCTCTGCTGAAGATCTGGGGACTCTGCTTGGACAGAAATGGGCTGCAGCTCCTAAAAAAAAGAATGATGTAAAAGTGCTGTTTGCTTTTAGAGAGAATCAGTTAGAACACATCAGCATTACCTGATAATTTCCACCGGCACCAATAGGATCAGAGGGCAGACCTCTGATGGCATCATACTGGTTTGTTGTTGAAGTTTTGGCGGTGTTTTGAACTGCGAACCTACTTAAAGCGACCTGGTTAGGCTGGTGATCACTGGGTCCTGATTTTGACAGACACTCTTGTGCTTGACTCGAAGCAGTAAATGCTGTTTGCACAGGTAAGACATTTGGTTCGGGGATGACGTTGGTAAACGATGGTGGTATTTTAGGTTGCAGGGAGCTCATTTCTGGCGAGGCCACAGGGTGGCTCTGCTGAGCTCGGTGGAGATTAGAAAACGATGCTCCCAAAACTTCATGCAGACTCATATAGTTGATGTGCTGCAAATGAAGACAGATATGTTGAATAAAAAAACTTTTAAATCCACTCCTTTTTCTGTCGTACTGTCTGTTATTACCTGCACCAGTCGGAACAAGTCCTCGCCCAGACGCTGTCTCACTGGTGAAGAGATCAAAGGCTGACTGAAGGCTGTGGAGTCGGTGCAGCTCTGTGGTTGGACGTTAGGAGGATCCATGGCCGGGTGGGGAACGGACACGTTACTGGAGTCAGGAATAGTTTTAGGATGGGTGGGGGGAGGAGCTGAAGCTTCTGGGTGTTCTGAAGGACAACTGGAAAAAACAGAAGTGTCACCGGTCAGTTTCACCTTGTGCTTTTTTATGTTTTCATTTGTTTTAGCCCAAAGATATTCAGAAGGACTTTTATTTTTACAATTACTGCCTTAAACCAAGTAGGTCACTTGAATAAGACAACGATAGTTACAATTTTATGGTATGAAAACACTAAAACTGTCCAGTAAAAGTCATTAAAGGGTTTAATTATGTGATTTATGCTTTTACATGTAAAGAATCACCTGGAGGATGAACTTGGCAAATCTTCAGCTTTTTCAGAATAGTCAAGATCTTCCAGCTTTAAACTCTGCTAAAGAAAAAAAGCAATATTTGTATGTCTGTAGCATCATATAGTCATCAGTTATAGCAAGCTGAATAACCATTTCAGATGTGCAGATGTTTCCAGATGTGTCCTTGCCGGAACCGAAAGACAACACGTGCAGGTTTTTCCCGTCATCACTTTGGTCTACAAAACCAAACACATCAGTTATTATTCTTTGTGAGAGCAAACATCACAACATCTTAATCATGCCCTCACCTTCTATCATAGCTTCTTTCTCAGGAGGAACATCTAACTCATCCAAAGACAGGTGCTGTGGACTAGAGCGTTCCGATTGAGGGTTAAGGGGAAGCATCCCCTGAAACGTTGGCTCCTCTGATGGAGAACCACTGCAAACAAACAAATACTAATGGGTAAAAGGTCAGTGAACGACAGCAAAATATAAACAAACCAGCACAGGTGCTCACAGCTCGGCTTGTTGTAAATGATCAAGAGCAGCGATGGGAGTGTTGGCTGATCCAGGGTAGCCAGTATCCACGCTGCTCTCCCTCTCCAGCTTCACGTCCACCTCAGGCTGCTGCACAGGCGCGACTGTCCACTGCATTCCAGGAACTTGGATGTTGCGGTCAGGCTGTAGCAGAGAAGAGTACGTACGCTCCAGCAACCTCAAGGAAGTGAGGATAGCCGGTGCTGAAGCTCTGACGCGAATCACAACTCCCTCATCATCATCTTTCTTCTTTTTACCGTGTTTTCCTAAAAGAACCCTTCTATCAGCCCACCGCACCATCCACTCCAGCAGCCGGCCCAGTTCTGGAAACTGAGCCTCCAGTTTGGGATCCAAGCCCTGCTGTAAACCAGTCACAGCTTCAACAGAAACAGAAGAGTTGAGTTTGAAGCTATCGGATAGCTGCCGTGTGCTAGAGGCATTTTTGACAGGACTGAGAACCTTCACTTTTGCTGATGATGCGTTATTTTGCCTTCGGAGACCAAACAAACCTTTTGGCCCCTCGGTAGGATGAGAGGAGATAGATGTGGACTTGGATGCGGAGGCTTTGTTCCAAACCGAAGAACTCTGCTTCGCTGGTTTGTAGCAGCTGCCAGCACTGAAAACTGGAGGGGCGTGGCTTAGGTGTTTTCTCTCTGGAGGATGTCCATCTCTCAGTCGACGGTGTATTGTGGTGAGTACATCAAATGTTAAAGAATGTAACTCCCTCTCCCGCAGCTCAGAGCAGAAGTTCCTCAGCAAAGGTAGCTCACTGCCAGAATCCCCGCCATCGGCGCTATCCTTCGCCAGCACGTAGCTAAGGAAGAGCTCCAGGAAACTCAGATACTCCTCATCTTCCAGCTCAAACTCCCAGGTGCCGATCACAGGTAGGGACGGCTGCTCCTTCTTCCTGTCTTCATGTCTCGTCACGTGACTAATCCTTTCAATCAACTTTTTCCCTTCTTTCTTTGTTTTTTTGCTTCTGGAAAATAAAACACAAGGCATAAAGTATAACAGAGCACTTATGTTATGTTGTGTTTCCACCTTAAGTACCTGGTCGTGGTTCTGTGGTGCTGTTCAGGAGAAATAGCCCCAGATGTGTTCCCTGATGTTTCTGCATCACTGCACACCGGCTGAAGAGCACCGTCAGTTAAAGTGCCGATGCTGGTACCCAGTGACATCTGTCCCAACGCAGTGTTGTGTTTGCTCCCCCTGTCCTCTTCATCCTCTTTCTCCCACAGATGGAGCACAGGTGGGGCCAGGTGCCTCTGCAGACGTGCCAGATGTTTCCTCCTTAGTTTGTTTTTGTCTTTAATGAGAGTTGCCATTGATGCCTTCACCTCTTCATTCTCTCTGTCTGAAAAACATGGAAATATGATTTTAGGGATCATTTGCAACCAGTTTAGAGACCAAAGTTAGAAACCAACAGAGATCGGAGGGCTGACTAGGGTCATCATAACCAGTCTTTCAAACAAATTAGGCTTTTATTAGAATTTCAAGATCAGTAGGCAGATTGGTGCTCCATCTGCAGTGGTGCGGGCATTGTACTGGCCTGTTGTGGTGAAGAGAGAGCTGAGCAAAATTCTTCTTCTGGCTCTTGGAGAGTACAGACGCTTTTTTTTCCCCTCTCCCTCCCTCCTCATCCCAAGGCTCTTTGTCCTGTCTTTGTGTGCACGGCGCTTTTTGCATTTTTTCTGGAAACTGGAAATTATTAAAAATGGATCTGGTCAGTTGGTCTCTCAACGCGATTGACAAAAGTTTTTCAACGATGAGAACAAGAGAAGGGGCTCCCGGATGCCCCACTGGGACAGAGCCAGCTGGGTATATCATGGACTCCTGGAAACAGTGGAACTTGATCTGCCTCTCTCAACTGTCTGTAGAGGATTCTGAAGATGTCAGGATATTCGTCGTGTTGGTGTCGGGATTCCTGCTGTTTGGCCTGAGCAATTACCTTGCTTAACAGAAAATTAACAAGCTTTTGAGGAATATTGGCTCAATCCCGGAGCTCAGGGATGGAATGCATCGCGCTGTGAACGCACAAAATCATATAATTGTCGAGATGAGTCATAAGCTTGGAACTTTGGCTGAGATTCAGGCTCTGGCACAGAAGGTTGATTCGATCAAGGAGCGAGTTGACGGATCAGCACGGATTGGGATGGATTAATTATGCCATTATTGGATCTAGAGGGGCTGAAGACCGACAGAACTCTAAGACAGAGAGGAAATTATCTCTGTCTAAACCCAAAACAATTCTTATCTGAATCTGGTGCCCTTGAAGCCTGTGAGGCTGAAGTGTAGACTCCCCCCTCAGAAGAAATGTGGAATGCTGCTGTCGCTATGGAAACCCTTTCTCCCTATCCCAGCCTGGGCGGGACTGTGACCGGTGAAGGCTGTGGAACCGTTCTAGGAGTCAATGTGCTCTCTAACCCTATAATCTCCCTCCCCTGTCCAAACAGAGGTGGTGAGTGCTGCTCCATGCGGGCTGCGCACTCTGAAGTGAGGAGAGTCCCAGAACCTTCCATCCCCACCTAGTGGAGACTTATGTTGTGTATCGTCTGAAGTCTGTGTGCATTTCTGTCTGAGGTATTTTTTGCATAGCAAAGCTACCCTCTCTGTTGAGGGTAACACTGAAGTGCCTTTTTTCCCCTCCCCCTGACTCTATCCTCATATAATCCCTCTTGATCTATTAAGGTAGCGCGACTCGTGTTGTGAATGACCACAGTCACCAAGTCTTGTCATGTGTCTATGTATGTCTATCTGTCTGATCTCAGAATTGTGTAGTGAAACTCTAATATCCCTCTGGGATTAATAAAGTATTTTTGAATTTGAATTTAATTGAGCCAGAAGGCGAAGCTCATGATTTGCCGGTCGATCTACTTTCCTACCCTCACTTATGGTCACGAGCTTGCTTCACGGCTGAAATTAGTTTTCTCTGCAGGGTGTCTGGGCTCTCCTTTAGAGATAGGGTGAGAAACTCTGTCATCCAATTGGGGCTCGGAGTAGACCTGCTGCTCCTCCACCTTGAGAGGAGCCAGTTGAGGTGGCTTGGGAATCTAGTTAGGATGCCTCCTGGACGCCTCCCTGGTGAGGATTTCTGGGCATGTCTAACCCTGGTGGAGACTTAAAGGAAGACCCACGACACACTGAACACATACAGAATATTATTATAAACTCATTACATTGGTTCATAAGTGGCATATGTGGGTCCCAGGGCCTGAGATGGTTTTACTGGTTTATCTCTGCATGCATGCCCACATCTGTACATGTAGCTGTGGTATTAATCAACAATGTAGGCACATCTGCTACAGGTACATCACGTGACCATGTTTGGAGTTGTTGTATACCGAGGCAGAAGTTTAGAATTGAATGAGCTTTTCATTTTTTCAATGAATAATTGAATAACATTTCCACAACCAAATAACACTAAAAGTTTTGGTTAATTTTCCACTAGTATAAACATCCCATGGAAAAAAATCCACTCTTTTTATAAAAGTTTATTTTTTCTCTAAATTTGAGAACTCAATAATGAAGAAAAACATAGTGGGTTTTTACCCCTTTAGCGAATATGAAAACAAATCACTTATAGATATTTATGGAAGGGAAAATAAAGGATTTCTGACTTTAATCTGTTAAAAAAACCTGATTTTATTCTGTTTTCTAATTTATTTAAATCAGAATTCTGAGGAGAAAATGATAACTTTTTGGTGGCCCTAATTCTCTTTTGTAGATATTTCTCAAAAACGATTCATTGTGTTCTCAAAAGAATCTGTAACAATTTTGGCTCTAAAGTTTTATTCCAGTGGATCGGAGGGAAAACAGCTTTTTAAACTGTAAAGGTTAGTCGTCGTCTTCCTCCGCTTATCCGGGTCGCGGGGGCAGCATCCCAACTAGGGAGCTCCAGACCGTCCTCTCCCCGGCCACCTCCACCAGCTCCTCTGGCAGGACCCCAAGGCGTTCCCGGACCAGATTGGAGATGTAACCTCTCCAACGTGTCCTGGGTCGGCCCGGGGGCCTCCTGCCGGCAGGACATGCCCAAAACACCTCCCCGGGGAGGCGTCCAGGAGGCATCCTGACCAGATGCCTAAACCACCTCAACTACTCATTTCGATCCGGAGGAGCAGCGGTTCTACTCCGACTCCCTCCCGAATGTCCGAGCTCCTCACCCTATCTCTAAGGCTGAGCCCGGACACCCTACAGAGGAAACTCATTTCGGCCGCTTGTATCCGCGATCTCGTTCTTTCGGTCATTACCCAAAGCTCATGACCATAGGTGAGGATTGGGACGTAGATCGACCGGTAAATCGAGAGCCTGGCTTTCTGGCTCAGCTCTCTCTTCACCACGACAGATTGGTTCAGCGTCCGCATCACTGCAGACGCTGAACCAATCCGCCTGTCGATCGCCCGATCCCTCCTACCCTCACTCGTGAACAAGACCCCGAAATACTTAAACTCCTCCACTTGAGGTAGGACCTCTCCCCCGACCCGGAGTTGGCAAGCCACCCTTTCCCGGTCGAGAACCATGGTCTCAGATTTGGAGGTGCTGATCCTCATCCCAGCCGCTTCACACTCGGCCGCGAACCTACCCAGCAACCGCTGAAGGTCAGAGCTGGATGAAGCTAGGAGGACCACATCATCCGCAAAAAGCAGAGACGAGATTCTCCTGCCACCAAACTCGACACACTCCACACCACGGCTGCGTCTAGAAATTCTGTCCATAAAAGTGATGAACAGAACCGGTGACAAAGGGCAGCCCTGGCGGAGTCCAACCCTCACTGGGAACAGGTCCGACTTACTACCGGCTATGTGGACCAAACTCACGCTCCTCTGGTAAAGGGACTGAATGGCCCTTAACAGAAAGCCTCCCACCCCATACTCCTGGAGCGTCCCCCACAGGGTGCACCTGGGGACACGGTCATAAGCCATCTCCAAATCCACAAAGCACATGTGGATTGGTTGGGCAAACTCCCATGCCCCCTCCATCACCCTTGCAAGGGTATAGAGCTGGTCCACAGTTCCACGGCCAGGACGAAAACCACATTGCTCCTCCTCTATCTGAGATTCAACTATCGATCGGACCCTCCTCTCCAATACCTTGGAGTAGACCTTTCCAGGGAGGCTGAGGAGTGTGATCCCCCTATAGTTGGAACACACCCTCAGGTCACCCTTCTTAAAGATGGGGACCACCACCCCAGTCTGCCCCTCCACAGGAACTGCCCCTGATGACCACGCAATGTTGCAGAGACGTGTCAACCACGACAGCCCTACAACATCCATAGCCTTGAGATACCCAGGACGAATCTCATCCGCCCCCGGGGCTCCGCCGCTGTGTAGTTGTTTGACTACCTCAGCAACTTCTGCCCCCGAGATTGGACAGTCCATCCCCAGGTCTCCCGGCTCTGGTTCCTCCTCGGAATGCGCATAGGTGGGATTGAGGAGCTCCTCAAAGTATTCCTTCCACCATCCGACTATAGCCCCAGTTGACGTCAGCAGCTCCCCATCCCCACTGTAAACGGTGTGAGCGAGTTGCTGCCTTCCTCTCCTGAGGCGCCAGGCAGTTTGCAAAGTTTGTAAAGGTTAGATTAACAAAAATGCTCAACACCTTTAAAATCTCATTTCAGAGATATATTGAGGAAATCAGAAGAGTTTATACCAAAGACACTGCTTTGCTTCAACCTCTGCAGCAATAAGTTATACTTGTCTCTCAAAGACACTCTCACAGACGCCACCTCTTGTGGAAAGGCTCGTGACAGAGAGTCTGCAACCTACCAAGAAAAAAAAATCAAAGATTAAAGTGATCCAAAACAGCCTTTAATAAGGGGTAATAATCAGGTAATAAAGTGTTACCACAGGCAGAGGAGGGAGTTCGGACAAAAGGCTGAGCAGTAAGTCCTGAAGGACTTCCTCGGCATTGAGGAAGTGACAGAAAGGCAGGAGACGACAAGCCCAGAGGACAGCGTCAATGCAGGCTAAATTCAATTCTGAATCTTCACTGATCTAAGAGACAAGATCAAAATGAACGGAGAGGAAAATCTCACATCTGCAGGTTCTGTACTAAAACAGTGTGATACCTCTCTGGCTCTTCCACGCTGTCTAGCGGCCTGATACTTCCTGCAGTGAAGGGAGAGCTGATCCCTGACATGAAGCATCCAGCATAAAGCACACAGCTCCCGGAAAGAAACTTGTGACAAATAAAAAACAGATCATGTGTACACGGGCATAAGATTACGTAGTTTAAGTGATTCTCAAACACCCGATTACCAATAGCGTGAATGGTGTCGGGATCCAGGCGACCGCCTTTCTTTGGTCCCTGTTTAAAGTAACCACGACGACTGATCAACTTCACCAGTTCTTCTGGGAAAGCCGTTTCCTCCTGAGCAGCTGCTGGGTAGGAATACTTCTTCTTGATCTGAAAAATAATATATATTAAGCACCAGTTGTTTTGTTTGGTTTCTAACACATTCATCAAGTCTCTCTTAGCCAAACTTTGAGTCTCATCACCTCAAATGAAATGTGCGTTTCGTTGAAGCGTACCTTGTGTAGTATGTGTCTGGCGCGCCTCAGACGACCGACATACCACTGAGCAGCAGGGCGGCTACAACGAGCAGACCTCAGAAGTAGGAGTAATCTTTGGAGGATCCCAGATACTTTGTGTCGCCGTGAAACTTCACCAAACTGACCTGCTGCTTCCATTTGGTCCTGAATATGAAACAAAATCAGCTGTTTACATGTAAGTGTGTGTGTGTGTGTGTGTGCGTGCGTGCGTGCGCGTGCGTGTGTGTGAACATAAGGACTTTTTGTATAGTACCTGTGTGTTGGGAGAAGGCTGTGGACAATAGAGAGGTGGAGAAGGAAGGTACAGTCCAGTGGGAACCAACAAAGGCTGGGAAGAACACGTGTCTTTGGCTTTGTCCAGCAAGGAAGACAAAGGTGAGGACATCACATCCACCCCTGCCATGACTGAAGCCTTTAGGATCTCCTGTAAGGAGGCCTGCAACAAGTTCCAATCGTCCCCTTCTAAAGGATCTTAAACAGAAATAAACAAATCTAAATACTCCAATGGGACATAAAGAACGATAAATGATCTATATTTGATATAGTGCCTTCTAGGGTCCTAGAATCACCCAAGGTGCTTTACAACACAATCAGTCATTCACCCAAAAACATATTCACACCCTGGTGGTGACGACTCGAGCTACAATGTATTTATAGCTGCCCTGGGGCGCACTGACAGAGGCGAGGCCTGCCATACACAGGCACCACCGGTCCCTCTGACCACCACCAGCAGGCAAGGTGGGTTCAGTGTCTTGCCCAAGGACACAACAGCTGCGACAAAATGAGATGGGTTCGAACCTGCAGCCCTCCGGTTAAGAAGTGGAAGCCTAACTCTTCTGCCACCGTCGCCCGTGAATGTGAGGTTTAACTAACCTGTAATGTTCTTGTCACCATCTTTATCCAGGCACTCTTCAGAGTCAGCTTTGTTGCCAACAAGACCATCCAGCTCAGCCTGGAAAATGCTTTCTGGTTGTAAAACTGTCGGCAGGTGGAGCTCCCTCTTCCTGATCCTGCCACAGAGAAGTCACGTCCACAAAAACACATCATTTGGAAAAATGGAAAACAAATTCCATTCAATCAAAGACACTGTCACCCATCCAGTGGTCTGTTAGTTTATTCTGGAATTTTAAACTTACGCAGTGAAGTCCAAATGTTCAGAGCAGTAACTGGTATAAGCCAGACTCAGAGTGACTGCAGTCTTCCAGTCTCCCAGATGATAAGCCAACCACACTGCCTCAGGAAGCAGCCCCCCCAGCAACAGCAGGTCCAGAGCGTAGTCCACTGTCCATAACTCAGACAGATGCTGCTGTCGAACCGCTCTAGCCACATCCTCTTGGCTCAGAGGCACCAAACGGCCAACACTTGTGCCTGAAAAAGTACAACACTGCATTACAATGATGCAAAAACTGTGAATGAATAAAACCTTTCAAAAGCGCACCTTGGGGTAGATGTAGTGGAGGCAGAATGGCCACATTATGAGCTGGAAGAATAAAGAGCGGCTGGTTGGTGAAGTAAGAGGCCATGAACCTCCCTAAAGTCTGGAGAACGGCACAGGCGGCGTCAGTGTGAAGGTTCATCGGCAGCCAGGGGCAAGGAAGAGAGTCTGTTATGGAGGAGGAAGCCAGGGATAGAAAATAAAACTTCTTCTTTTGCAATTTCTTGTAAAATCTGAGCATGACCAGGAGAAAAAAGCTGCATTACAGATTTCTGGAGAGCAGTGGACAACCTGCACTCTCGTACAGAGAAGAGATTTTTGCATATGTGCAGCCAAATTAAATTATTGTGGAAGAAAAAAAAAACACTTACAGGTTGCAGATTATATTTTTGATGACTTTTAGTGTTTGCAACTATTTGAACTTGATTGAACTTTTAAAATGCACAATTTAGAGTGATTACTAAGAACAATTAAAAAGCACATTTACGTCCATTTTTCCACCTGTAACAATTTTTAACTTTAAAAGCATAACAAAATTATTTTAGCAAAAAAATTCTGTGATTCAAGTTTTATAACTGTAGGTTTTAACATGTAACACACTGCCATTCCACTCAGTGATGTTTCCATGTAGCTAAAGAGAGAAATGGGTTACTCACAAACCAACTTCTGGAGTAAAACTCAAAGACTGAGGAATTATGACCGACCTGCTGAGCACGCTGAAGTGTTATTCTGGTTTCCAGCACGGAGCAAAACCATCTGAGCCATGTGGTCTCCCAACTCCTGGGCTTCTTTCAAACTATACTGGGATAACAGACTATACAGGAGTGCCAGACAGAGACGAGTCTCTTGGAAAACACTGCGATCGCAGCCTAACAGTAAAATAAACACAAAAATAAACTAAGTGAACAAGATCATATTTAAAAAAACACTTTTATTTATCAACTTAAAGAGCAAGTCACCCCCAAATCAACCTTTTTTGCTGATCAACTATAGAAATGAGTTTCTAATCATGCTTTAGACACGTGTAGTCAATAATTTGGCACTTTAGTGCATCTTAGTTAAAATGTAAATATTCTGCCTAAAACTGTCAGTGTTGCACCGTCATCAGGTAAAACCTCTGCACTGTATTTGAATTCAAATCGGTCATTGCTATTGGCTAAGAGGTACACTATGACGTTAGCTGGTACATTATGATGTCACAATGTCGTTGTGAGCCTGTGTGTGTATTTTTTAGCAACTCCGCCCTCTCGATCTGCCAGGCAACAGCATTTGTTGCATTTTTCAAACATGAAGTGGGAGTGGAGTAAGACTCTGGTAGGGGGTGACTTGCTCTTTAAGCAGTGATTCTTACTTTTGTTGGCTTCCTGACAGATTTGTAATCGCCATGCATCTGCACCCTCTGGGTATAGGCCGCACAAGAAATCATGCTCACCTAAAGGGACAACATTTCAAACATTTACAGTTTAATACAACAAACCTTTAAGTCTGTCGACACTTTTTGAAATAAGAAAACACACAACCAACATCTCCTGTTTAATTCCAATTGAAAGCATAAACATGAAGAGTTGTTCAGACCTGAGTGACTCAGGAGTGATGGACCCTCCTGCAGATGTCCTCCTGTAGCCTGCAGAGCTGTCTGGATCTGGGTCATGATGACAGATACTTTTTGTTCCTCCTCCTCCCAACCATCACAGCCTGTAAACTTGGTCAGTTCTTCTGCATACTGCTGTGTTATGTCATACACCAGCTGCCATACTCCCAATAACCTGTTACAAAAAGGAGATCGATCACAGGCGTCTCACAAAACTATTTGCTTACAAAGAAAGCAAAGTCAAAATCTTTACCTGCTAGAAGGTCGATGAGGAACAGGCAGAGCCTGGTGTGCAAAACTGGTTCTATCTGTATTCTCCTTCTGCAGCATGGGCACATGGTAAACATCTGAATTCCAGAGACGTGACTGAGAAGAAGGTGCCTTCTCCTCAGAAGAGCAGCTTGTTTTCTGCTGTAAGCTGTAAACGCGGTCAAGAGAATCAGAGATGAGCTGCAAAATTGTCATGATTCTGGAAAGGCTTTGAGATGATGCGAGGCAACGCCCGGTCTGGTAGAGGTCAGGGTGAGGGGTCAGAAGAAGGAGTACTATCCTTTTACTAAACTCCACTAGCAACCCCAGGCAGCATGGTCCATCTGAGGAAGTTCTATCCCAGGAAAGCAACGAAAGAAGGGCTTTGATTAGGTGTAGGAGGCAGGAAACAGTGGGGGTTTTCTTTTCTCCTGTAAGGACTGTGGAGCTGGGCCTTAAGTGAAGCAAAGCAGCGAATCGAACTACACAACAGAGTGTGTGCTTCAGCAGATGAGCTCTGTGCTCCACAGCATCTCCTAACAACATGCCAAAAGCCCAAGCTGTCAGCAGCCGACTCCGGATCTTCCCTAACTCACGCTGAAGAGGAGTCTTCTTCTCAGCTTCAACAAAGTCCCGATCATTATTTGAGTCAACAAGACATGATGCCACGCTGTACGTTTCCAGAGCATGGAGGGTGTCAAACATGGAGGAAAACTCCAAATGACCTCCATCTTCCACATGGGAACCAGCAGGAATTCCTTCTAAATCAGACTCGTCCTCAAAGAAAGCCTACAAAAAGCAAACACACGAATAGTTTAACAACCACCAATCTGGAATAAATCTCTTAGATGTGACACACCGTTTTTTAATTTGAAAACTCCGTTTGAATGACCTGCATGCTTTCAAAAAGCTCCTTGGTGCCGCCTAATGACTGCTGGTCCTGCAGGAACAGCGGCAGCCTGGATGCATCTGTTGCTGCTGACATGATGGAGTCTAAGGTTTTTGGCCGGCGTGTAACGGAGGGGTTAAACTCCACGAGGCTGCCGTCTAGATTCAAGCTGGACACTGACTCCAGCCAGGCTTTCACGTTAACCTGAAAAATAACTTAGGTGAGCCCACTGCAAAAATTATTTGCAAGAAATCTGAAGGAACCTTGTTTTTAGATATTTTAATCTTATTTTTATTGTCTTAAAAAGAAAATAATCATTATCTGCTAAAGCAGCACAACTTTAAATAAATTCTAAATATTCTAGAAGACCAATTTGACTCGTTTTTTTTCCTCAATAGATTGCAGTGGCCTCTAGTAGGAGAGTATGCCTTGTGAGTCAATCTCTGAGGGAAAAAAGCTCCGGTGCTCCTGTTTTAGGAACCAAAAGTGAGCTGGAGGAGAGATGAGCAGAAGGCGACAGGATTTGGACTCTTACTTCCTGATATTTGGACATCTCTTCTCTAACTGGGTAACAGCAACACAATTCTATCACTGACTCAGTTTGCTTCGCAACTTCTGTGTTTTATGACAAATAACTCTAGCCTGAAGGAGTTCTGCTGTGTGGTGGAGTTGCTAATGCTAACGGTTAGCTTCTATTAGCCGAGACCAATATGTGCTGTGCTCTCTCCTGAACGCTAAACCAACTACAGCCTTCCCTGTCCCGAGTCAAGATGAGCGAGTCTTCAATGTGAAGGTAGATCTGAGTGACTTTTCAAATCGAGCATTACTCCGGCTGCAAATGCAGGAAACAGGGTAGAAGACTATTTACACGTTTAGCCTGCATGTGAAATGCAGAGTGGCCAATTCGATTTAAAAAAATAACTAGTAAATAAATGGTTTCTGTGAATTTGGTCTAAGAAAATTGACCTGTTTTCAAGTAGTGCTGCTTTTACAGCTAAGAAATAGCATTGTTTTTTTTTTCTTTTTAGACTAATAATAAGATAAAATGTCTAAAAACAAGTTTTATTTTTACTTTCTTGAAGATCCATGTCTGCTGTGTAATTGTAAATCAATGCAAAAGCAATATAGCTAAATAAGACCAATTCAATTTCTGGTTAATCACCTGTGATTTGCCCAGTTTGCTGCTGGCCTTCTCAAGATCTTTGCTCACATCTTTCAGAAGATCGTTCAGGAATAGAGCAGGAGATGGCCTATCAAGCATCCTCAGGACCGTGGCCATGTAGCCATCAGACACAATCAAATACAACAGGCGTGGGTGCCAGGTCACAGAGTACCGCTGCCTAAGGATGTCACGCACGGACAGGCTCGAGCTGGACAGAGAAGCTTCAGGTCTCCCTGCAGACACCGGCGGCCTGCAAAGTGTATAAACATCGCACACCATGACCTTTGATTGATTCTTAATCACTACCCTCTCCTTATTCAGCTATTTCTACCAATTCCACTTTTCCCAGGATCCAGTGATTATCTGTCCTAATTATTTTCTTTATTTTCTCTTTCCATACATTTTTAATCACAATTATTTTTTTCTCATTTTTATGTTTGTTAATAATTTTTTATATTTTTAATTTTTATTTATTTTGTTCTTGTGAAGCGCCTCGTGGTTTTTACCTTGAGATGCGCGATATGAAAGATTGTTTCTTCTTCTTCTTCACACTTTTACCACTGATTTATAATTCAGCCTCTCTAAGAGCCTCAAATTTAAATGTACCTGTAAGTCACCAGCGGGTGCAGAGGCAGGAAGTGCACAGGACCAAAGTCAAGATTGCAGCCAGAACTTGTCAGAGTGAGAAGTCCGCCAAAACTCGCCAACATCAGGAGGGAACCTCTCTTCAACACACAAGCCAAGAAAAGGCCTCCAGGTGACCAGCACACACTTCCTACCCAGTAGGACCTGAACAGGAAAATTTGCTCAAATTAAAAAAAAAAAGCAATAACACATGCAGGAGTTACTAATTCAGTGGCTGTGATAATCCACATAAGTGGTTGACACGCTATTTATAATACTGACCTGATATATTTAGATGGGATGTCTTTTTTCTTACTTCCACATCCTCCAAGTCCACATATTGAAATAAAATTCTGTGTGCTCACAAAAAGAACCTGTGTTGCCTGCATTCAGAAAGAAATGCATTTTTTTTCTAAGCTTTTAATGATCAAAGGTGTGTGTGCAAGCTGATTAAAAGCTAAATAAAATAAACACACAATCCAAAATCTTACTTGAGGGTTTCTCTGATTCAGGACAACAGCTAACAGCTGGCCATCTGGGGAAAAGGCTGGCACCAAGGCCCCTCTAGACTTCACTGAATGGCAGGGTGGGCTGAGACGAGACAAGGGGTATGTCTTCGTAGCCCACTGTATGCTGAAACCAGCAGAACTTCAAAGGTACATGTAAATCTTTGATTATAACACCAAACATAACATGGTTTGTGTCCATATTATTGCATCAACCTGTTCACTCACCCCACCCTTGAATTGGCTTCTTTCCACTGGATTTTGATGACAGTGAGAATAAGCTGTTTCCCAGATGTGAAAACAAAGGCGGACAAGCAAACATCACCCATAACCTAGGAAATTTTGGAGACAGGTTAAATAAGACACACTGTACAGCCCAGATGTTAAAATATCACATAAATACACGCTATTTGGTGTGAGGACCTCTGTTTTGACAAAAACTGTGTGCTGAGATGCTTCTTTATCTCGTGAAGAAGGCAATACGGTGTCTTCAAGGGGCTGTATGTGCATCCAGTGGCCCTTAACTGGGCCATCCCGGAGACCTGCAAAGTCCCTCGTGTCTGTACACTCCCACAAGATCACCTGCCCTTTTAGGGTCACCAGGAGCACATGGGTCCCCTCACAGGAAACCTGAACACACAACTTTGTGGAATTCGCTGAGGAAAAGCACAGAAACACTTACTTAGACATTTAGCAATTACCCGGAATGTGGATACTGTGTGTACATCTAAAATAAAAATAATACTTCATTTTAAATTGTTTCAAATTGTATATTTCAGATTATGATTACACCTTTACACTCAGTTCACTCATGCAAAAACTACACTACAGGGGTTCACATTTTAGAAATTCAGAGCAGACTTGCGATCTTTACTGAACTGATGCCACACACCACAGTCCAAACATATACAGGTCCTTCTCAAAAATTAGCATGTTGTGATAAAGTTAATTATTTTCTGTAATGTACTGATAAACATTAGACTTTCATTTATATTAGATTAATTACACACAACCGTAGTAGTTCAAGCCTTTTATTGTTTCTAATAGTGATGATTTTGGCATACAGCTCATGAAAACCCAAAACTCCTATCTCAAAACATTAGCATATTTCACCCAACCAATAAAAGAAAAGTGTTTTAATACAAAAAAAGTCAACCTTCAAATAATTATGTTCAGTTATGCACTCAATACTTGGTCGGGAATCCTTTTGCAGAAATGACTGCTTCAGTGCGGCGTGGCATGGAGGCAATCAGCCTGTGAAACTGCTGAGGTGTTATGGAGGCCCAGGAGGCTTCGATAGCGGCCTTAAGCTCATCCAGAGTGTTGGGTCTAGCGTCTCTCAACTTTCTCTACACAATATCCTACAGATTGTCTAAGGGGTTCAGGTCAGGAGAGTTGGCAGGCCAATTGAGCACAGTAATACCATGGTCAGTAAACCATTTACCAGTGGTTTTGGCACTGTAAGCAGGTGCCAGGTCGTGCTGAAAAATGAAATCTTCATCTCCATAAAGCTTTTCAGCAGATGGAAGCATGAAGTGCTCCAAAATCTCCTGATAGCTAGCTGCATTGACCCTGCCCTTGATAAAACACAGTGAACCAACACCAGCAGCTGACATGGCACCCCAGACCATCACTGACTGTGGGTACTTGACACTGGACTTCAGGCATTTTGGCATTTCCCTCTGCCCAGTCTTCCTCCAGACTCTGGCACCTTGATTTCCGAATGACATGCAAAATTTGCTTTCATCCGAAAAAAGTACTTTGGCCCACTGAGCAACAGTCCAGTGCTGCTTCTCTGTAGCCCAGGTCAGGCGCTTCTGCCGCTGTTTCTGGTTCAAAAGTGACTTGACCTGAGGAATGCGGCACCTGTAGCCCATTTCCTGCACACGCCTGTACACGGTGGCTCTGGATGTTTCTACTCCAGACTGAGTCCACTGCTTCTTGCAGTTCCCCCAAGGTCTGGAATCGGTCCTTCTCCATAATCTTCCTCAGGGTCCGGTCACCTCTTCTCGTTGTGCAGCGTTTTCTGCCATACTTTTTCCTTCCCACAGACTTCCCACTGAGGAGCCTTGATACAGCACTCTGGGAACAGCCTATTCGTTCAGAAATTTCTTTCTGTCAATGATGGCCTTCTGGACAGCAGTCAGGTTGGCAGTCTTAGCCATGATTGCGGTTTTGAGTAATGAACCAGCCAGGCTGGGAGTTTTTTAAAGCCTCAGGAATCTTTTGCAGGTGTTTAGAGTTAATTAGTTGATTCAGATGATTAGGTTAAAAGCTCGTTTAGAGAACCTTTTTATGATATGCTAATTATTTGAGATAGGAAGTTAGGGTTTTCATGAGCTGTATGCCAAAATCATCAATATTAGAAACTATAAAAGGCTTGAACTAATCTAATATATATGAAAGTCTAAATGTTTATCAGTACATTACAGAAAATAATGAACTTTATCACAATATGCTATTTTTTTAGAAGGACCTGTAGGTCTTTATATATTTGGTACAAACCTTGAGCAGAGGTGATTATTTGAACCACTTCAGGTACTGCTGCTGCAGTTTTCAATACATCTTTATCTCTGTTCCACAAAAACAGCTCTCCTGACGCCAAAAGTCCACACAGCCACATCCCTGGAAAACAGCACAAGTTCAATAACGTTTTGATCCAAACTGATGAGACGTGATTACAGTAACCTCACCATTATGGGACGCAGCCATTGTCACCACATTGTTGAGTAAATGATGAAGTTTAGGGGTCTTCTTCTTGGTGCGACCGGACACCATGTTAATCTCGCTTATCCGTTTGTCATCTAACAGAAAAACAGACTCCTTTTCCTGAAGAAGAATACATAGCAGGTCAGTTTTCTTCTAAGTTTTTTTTAAGGCTGTAGTTAAAACGTTGTTTTCCTCACCTGTCCAAGCCAACAGAATCGTGGCCATGGTTTCTTCCGCTTGATGCTTGATGACAAAACAACTTCTAACTTTAGCTTCATGCTTATTCATCTCTATCTCGTGATGCTGCATTCAGGAAAAATAAACATTTCTTTCCCCGTCGTACCGTTATTGTAGCATTAGCTACCTAGCTAAAATGTGTTAACGGACGGCGAGAAAAAGTCCTAACCTGACCATTTTAACTACAAATGCTATTCTCTCGGGCTAAAACGATATCCAGTAGACGTAAATATGTTTTTGTAGTATTGGAATTATAGCTTTAACCGTGAAAAGTCATGAAATATTTCGAAACTTCCCCGCTTCAGAAAGCAGGATTTTTTTCCCATGATCCTCTTGGAGGAAGCTTGAACGCGTTGCCGTAGAAACAGGAAGAATCAGGAAATAGCGAACTCTAGAGGGAATGAACTGTTTTATTTTCCCTTTCTAAAACATCACAACCCTTCTAATACTTATAACTTTAACTCATATAAACCTTTCGAAAGGTGGAATCCGAGATAAACAGGTTATTGTAACCCACTTTTGTGGGATTTTCATTTTGAAGGTGCTGCTAACAGGATGTGATGTTTGGAGAGAGAAAGAAGAAGAAAGTTTGAAGAGACTTGTAAATGGTGACGTTAAATAAAACAACCCTAAGAGTTCACGGCTATCAACCTTTTCTTGAGCAAACACAATTCTACATCTTCTCCAGTCTCTTTCTGGGATGCTCGGTTACATTATCAATCCTTTTAACAATGAGTAAAACCAGGGACAGTCCTAGACCATTTGGCGTTCTAGGCAAGTTTTTCTGGAGGCACCCCACCACCACCAAACCAAACACCAAAAAATGCAAAAATACCTTGTGTCCAAAGATTTTTGAAGTGGCAGTGTGTAGTTTCCTGAAGGGTGGTTTAACACCATATCGCCATGACTGTCATAGGTCCTTCAGTTAATTCCACCAAGAGAATGCAATGCCAGATGTAGTTTTCTGGGGCTGTACTTTCCAGGTCTGCCCAGGGCCTTGCGCCTGCTAGGCCTACTACAGCAATACAGATCGGTCAAAATTATTGCATCTCTCTTTCGATTCTGTTTTTTCACATAGGTTTTGGAAATAGTTTATCAGTTTTGTAATTCGTGTTTCTTACCTAAATGTTTTCGAATATGGTAACATCGTTAAGTATCATATCCAGCAAATCATCTAGTGTGACATCATAGACAGGTGCAGGACCCTGAGCCAACCAGAAGGAAACATGGCGTCTGACATAGCATCCCCCAAAGACGCTAGACCCACACCCTATGTACTTTTAGACCCGATTTTTAAGGTTATGTTCAAAAGCTTCCAACATTTTACAGTGACTGGACATCATTGATATAGTTTTGTATTTAATGTTATTTGATCACAAACCTTAGCGCAAGCAGGCATGTCTAAAATGTGGCCTGGGGGCCATTTGTGGCCCTCAGATTGATTTTTTTGCAGCTCCCATTTTCATTTCTAGAATAGTGAAATTTTCTATTTCGAGCAAGCTGTCAATGTAGATCAACAATTTTAACTTTTTGTAAATCAGGTTCACTGAGAAGCTATTTTTTATGTGTTATTTTGAAAATATGATTGGTCACTTTGAGTTCCCCTGCTGAATGTGGAAATAGTCTTCAATCACTAATTATTGCATTATCCACTAAAAGAATATCAACAGGGAAACCTTGCGGTCAGAAAAATCCTCACAGTTGCATGCCAAACTGTAAATTTGGACTCAGCCATCTTGGTTTACGACTATGGGAATGCTGTGTTGATTTTTACAGCCAGGAGAGAACAGATTTTGGCTAGTAGAAGCTAACCATTAGCATTAGCAATTCCAAAACATATCATAACTCCTTCAGGCTTGTGGTATTTGTGGAGATCCCACATCAAAGTTGCAGAGCAAACCGAGCCAGTAGAAGAGTCAAGCTGTTGTTACCCAATCAGAGGCTAGATGTCTGAACATAAAAAGCAAGACTCTAAATCCTGCTGTTTTCTGCCCCCCTTTATTGAAAGAGAAGCGCTAGGGCTCTTTTTTCAGCTGAGAAATACTCACAAGGCATTCATTCATTCATGCTAGAGACCACAGCAAATGTATTGAAAAAACAAGTGAATGAGAACTTTAATGTATCAAACAAAAACAAAAAAATCACCATAACATAGCTATCGTTTTAAAGTAGCAATAGCAAATCTGCAAAACAAGCTAGCTTAAAACATTTTAGTCCATGCCCCTTAACAGTCTTTTAACATTGTGTATAAATATACTGTGATGATTAAAAAAAGAAGTAAAATAATTCATAAAGTGGTTCTCTCTTATTTACCTGTCAATAACATGCTTCGGACCAAAAGCAACTATTGAACCATATGGTTGTCGATCTCGTTGAACCACCGCACTTTCCTGGTCCCCCACTCATTGTGTGTTTGTGTTCAAAATCTAGTTTGTTCTGTAGATTCACTATAGCAGCTTTAAGTCAAAAAACATGTTTTGTGGCACTTTTATTTGATGATTTTGGCCCTTGTCTTGACAGGTTTGAACACTCTCACATTAGAGTAATGGTTGTTTACTTAAATTGATAATAGTTTATTTATTTGTTTAATTTATTCAATGTAATTTTTTTATTACTAGATGCAGAAACGTAACCAGATCATCTTGTTTTCAGCCCTACAAATTGATGCAGCAGAGTTGATGCATCCCGATCATCATCTAACTGCTTGTGTGACATTTGGGTTCAGTGCATAACTCTTAAATATATTTGTTTATATCAGACGCATTTGCCCAAAGTGACTTACAACAGTGAATGTAAGACCATTTTGGCCAATGTGATTTTATTCTAACACGGAATAGTGTTGCACTAGCATTATTTCAACAGTAGAGGGCAAAACACAACAGCAGAAAAATACTGTGTGTAATTTATTTGTTTTTTGGGCTTATTTTCAAAACAAATTATAACTGAGACAGAAAAGAACTATGCTGCATACTTTGACTTGTGGCTTACAGCTTTTTCCTTACAAAATAAGTTTTAAGGAAATCTATAATCTTATTAACCATCTGAACATTAATGTGCAGTAGGTGATCTCTTTCTAACAATTAACATGCATTGAGTTATGTGAACCCTTAAGCAATAAGGTCTATTGTTGGCTTGTTACAGAGACTTATTAGGTCTGCCCCTAGGTCCCTGCTGGTATTTAATTACCCCTGCAGTCTCTGTTTCATCACGATGGAGATGACGGCTGCTATTGCCTATAGGTGAAAGAGAGGACTTCACCCAAACTTAATTGGTTCATTTGCTTCTGCCTCCCAGCTGTGGATGGAGCACTTTATTTCTGTCACTTCCAGGTTTGCTCTGCTCTAATAGTGGGGGGACATTTTAGAAGGGAGAATTTGACATCTAATGAGGATTTAACAATGCTTCGAAAACAATACCCATCTGGGTTTGAACCGCAGCAAATTGTTAGAAGAGATGTCCATCAAGCAATTTAGTTAGTGTCATCATTTTGAGCCTGGTTTTACAGTTTTGACTGATCCTTCAAACATAATCTGTGTTTTTAATGAGATTTTTCTTTCTTTCCTTTGTAGATTTGTCGGGTTGTGTGTATCTGACTTGCCATAATGTTTTCAGACACTGACCAACTTTTTTTTCATTTGAGGATCAGGCTTTCAATCAGGACTTTAGTATAAAAGGTCTGCAGAATATAAACGTAACAGATAAATAAACAAATAGTATCTGAAAACTAAAGAGTCTTTGATCTGAAGAAATCCTGTGTTTGCCGTTAATCCTCCTAAACTTGACCCATCCTACTTTTCGTTTACAAACGTCATTAATTTAAGACCCATCTCCCATCTTTATCTTTCACGTTCAATAAATCAGCTTCAGAACATCAGTTGGCATGGTAACCCCCATTTGCCATCTGCAGGCCCCATTCATGCTGAAAAATGACACTCAAAGAGCTGTCAAGAAACAGTCGAATATTCCTCAGCAACAGCGGGTCAGAGTGTGTCTGCAGTAAATCTCGGTCCTTTTTGGAGCACATTCAGCCTTTAATTTATACTTTCACACCTGGAAGTGTCTGAAATTGTTTAAAAAAATGCAGATTGTGTCATTTTATATCAGCTACATATGCACACATGGACTCACACAGGTACATTAACACCTCTGTGATGCAGTCACATCCTGCTGTGGAGCCATTATACTTACAGCATGTTCATTTTGGCAGCCGTAGGAAGCAGTTATTAGATTTAAGCTGCATTGACTGTCATTGCTATCTGACTGTCATCTACCTCCCGTCCTCAGAAGCAACAGGGATGGGAGGCTATTAAAGTGATAAATGCTTCAATTTTATATGTATCTACCTCAGTAGGTGTAAAAATGCCATGAACCAGATTTGGATTTTAATGCACATTTACATGGATGCATCACGGATCAGGTCACCGTTTTTGTCATTGTTGCTTAACTGCAACACTTGTCATCATCACAAGCTGTGAATTCCAATGAATCCAAGAGTCAAATTCTTGTATTGAACCCACGTGTGCAAAAATGTAGATTTGTTCTAGAATAACTAAGTGGTGCCAGGTTATTCTTTGAACCTGTTTCAGTAGCAAGCTGCATTTCGGGGTTATTTTTGACCTGAGGGACAGGATTCACCCTAAACTTAGCTTGCTGTTTGCTGTCAGGCACATTAGTTATTTGCATTGGGAGTGTTTTCGTGCACATATCCATGTCCTGCTGTAGAGTTAAATTTGTGTGTGGCTGAGGTTTTACGTAAAAAAAAGGTCAAGGCGCCACTCTGTATCATCCATAAGCTTCCCCTAAATGCTTCAGCAGTTTGAGGCTATGGTTTGGGCTTTTTCATTGTACATTTGAAAATCCAGCTTTTATCATTTTTCTAAATCAAACTGGGATTACAACGTAAAATGTTAGGAATGTGAAGTTTCAATCTTTGCTGTTTGCAGCATTTTGAAAGCTGTAACTCTATATAATGAGTCCCTTTATTAACGTTTCTTAGTGCATTATTAAGTTTTAATAAACTATTAAATAAAATATTAACAACTGCTTAACCATATTATGCAATGCATTACTAAGCAGATATTCCACTGGCCTTTTGTCCTAAACTTAACCCTCTGATGCATGAATTATGAAATCTTCAACCATGATTTTTTTAACAATTTTTTTCATTCGTCTTTAGGTGTGAATGAAATAAATTTCAACAAATATTTTTTGTAAAATTTTATAATTTACAAATAATTTATTATATGTCCACCTCAGTGGACAGCGTGCATTCTGAGCATGAAATATGTTGGCTTGGCTTACTGAAGTACAAATGGAGGGGCTCAAATGCAATAAAGTCTTCAACAGCTGTGCTTAATAGCAAAAACAAATAAATAATAATTTTGAGTACCTGTCCACTGCAGTGACCATTATGCATCAAAGGGTTAAAGACACTTAATTGTTAACATTACTGGGAATGTTAATAAAGGGACTCTTTGTTTATTAATAATGATGCGTTGAACTTATATAGAGCTTTTCTAGACACCCAAAGACGCTTTCACACACTCTCACATTCACACACTGCTAGTGATGGTAAGCTACATGTAGCCACAGCCGCCCTGGGGAGGTCTGACAGAGGCGAAGCTGCCATTTGGCGCCATCGGCCCCTCTGACCACCACTAACACAGGCAAATTGGGTGAAGTGTCTTGCCCAAGGACACAACAGCAGGATACCCCTGGCGGGAGCTGGAATCAAACCCATGACCCTCCGATCATGAGGCAACCCGCTCTACCACCTGAGCTACTGCTGCCCCCAAATGTTGAAATCAAAGAAACCTAAAATGTCTGAAAACCACCAAGCCACAAATTTACAACAGTCTCCAAAGTAAGCACACCCTCAGACACTTTAGATATTTTACTGTTGTGCATGCAACAATTTCTTTGTGCAAACAGCATGATGTTGTCAGTGCACCAAGCAACTTGTGTGCTCAGGAAATTTGTGTTGCAAAATGACTTGAATCTTCTGCTGGTCTCTCTGGGCACTTTTGAATGACTTGGCATTAATTTGCTTTCTATTACTTGTATGTTTGTAACCGTGCCTGAAACAGTATGAGTGTTATTTAAAATAACAGTGTCTTTGTAGCAAAACGTGCAGATAGGTGAAAAGTGGTTTAGGGGTGTGAAGGTTATGTAGGATAACAATGGACCAACAGGGCCATAGAAATTCTGTCTAGAAAAGTTAAATAATAAAAATATAGATGGAAAGCTTCTACGAACAGATACATATCAACACCAAAAGACCTTATGTGTCAATTGACAAAAGAAAAAAAAGAAATACATATCCATAAAGTGACCAGATTCCCTGCAACTATACTCTTTAAGTCACTCTGTTATTAATGTCTTTAGTTTTGTTTGTATTCTCTCATCCTGCTGCTTTCTTCATGGGAGAACAGATTGAGTTTCATCATGAGTTACAGTGAAAACAAACATCTTTAAATTCTTGAAATTTTTGTCTTTTTGCACCTAAAGGGAGAAAGGCATTAGTTTGGCTGGATTGAAATTAATAAATCAAATGTTTATATTTAATCAACAGATATCTGAGAAATGTTTATTGAGACAGTATGGGGCACTGAAAAAAGTTATCTTTTTAACACAATTCTGTGAATATAAATCTCTGAATTCAAGAACAGAAAAAAAACTGAACTCTGAGATTAAATCAAGATTCTGACTTTCTATAAAGTTTCCCTCTTCCATGAATATCTACCATAAGACATTTGTTATCATTAAAAAAATCACAATATTCTTTTATAATTAAGTAATACATTTAAGAAAAATACCAGCTTGAGAGTTTGTTTTTCATCAAACTCAGGGGTTTGTGCATTTTCTCCCAATAATGCTAATTGTGTAGCATTTTTCCTTAAAATTTGCATAATTCTGAGATTAAAGCCAGATTTATTTTTCCTCAGTGGCCCTAATCCTTGTTTGTATCGGTCAACTAACATCTAGATCCTACAAATTATTTACGTGTGTTGTATATAGTGTACTTTTATGATAATCCAAACTGTTGTCTGTGGTTTTTTCTACTAAATTTTTTTCATATCACATAAGTGATTAAATTTACCTTTTGCTCATGAGATTCAATCAGGAGCTGTTTAACAACACAAATTGTCTGAGATGTTCAAAAGCAAAAGTCCTGGTAAAAGATTAAAAAAATTAGGCCCTTCCCCTTTAATTTTTTTCCTCTATCACAGAAAAACGCTTTCTTTTTGTCGGCGCTCTAAGCCCCGCCTTTCCTCCAAGCTGATTGGTCGAGGCGTGGGAATATTCAAATTTAGCCTTGATTGATTGGCCCGGACCCGGTTCCAGCAGCTCACTGGACTCGTCTCTCAGTCCGACGTCGCTTTCCGTCGCTCACAGCTATTGAGTGTGCGAGGTGTGATGGGACTCACGAGTCCGGACGCTAATCGGTGAGATTATCATCCTTTCGGGCGGCGAGCATGTCGAGGGAGAGCAGTTAATGGAGCCGGCTTCATCAATGGATGTTTCTCCCGAGGTTTCCTACGTTTTTCGTGAAATCCGTTGCGAGATCGCTTCTGCGAAGGAAATACGCCTTCCGAGGAGGACAGGGACCAATCAGCCGAGGCGAACCAAAGATGAACAAGCCTTATGATTAGACTAAACTCTGTAAGAGATGTTCATAATGTGTTTTTTTTTTTTATTATAACGCTTGCAGGGAAGTGCGCGCGCGCGTGTTTGTGTATGTTGACATATTTATTAGCTTTTATATTCTATAGAACCCCTTTAAAAATAGTGTGCAAAGGCAAACAATAACGGAAAAGAATGAGGGTGTAATATTGACATGTCACGACTTTTTCTGGTTAATTTATCATAATAGCTATTTTCTGAGTCATTTGTATTGGCTAATGCATATTTAAATGGATGGATTCCAATTATAAACTCATTAATGAGTATTTTCTCAACTGAATGATCAGATTAATGGAACCAAAGTCTTTGAAATATGCTTTCAAGGTAATTACTGGAAACACAAGGCCTACATTTGTTATTGTGTGTGTGGTAAATATATTTGGATATTTGTGTTTTTCCCCCTCTTGGAAGTGGTTTTGGGGCCATTATATGTATGCACATGTGCAGGGGATGGTGCATGCAAGGGAAAGGCTCTACATGTCAGCATCTGAGTGGAAGCCCTTTTGAAGTATATTATCAGTCATTCAGGGGTGCCTCTGAGATTTTCCATTTCTATTGTCTATGGAGCCAGGGGTGGGATCATCTCACCTCACTGCACCGGTGGCAGCTGGGGTTGAAGGTTAGCCTCAGCAGAGGTTTCTACAGATTATTAGCCAGGTGTGAAATTCAACCCCGCATGCTTTTCCTGCCTTTGCCACATCCTTTATTACTCAGAGAGATGGGGTGTCAGAGCTCACCACCAGAAGCAGGGAAGGAGGGTAGAAAAAAAACTGCCATTTAGTGTTTTATGGTTGTCTTTCTTCGGAGCGTCATAATGAAAAATGCACCCCTGCATCGTTTTTATCAGAACAATTCTTTGTGTAGTTTTTATTTTAGATCCTACAGCCAGTTATGAGAAGCAACTACGTGTCTGTGTGTGTTGCCTGAGCTTGAACCTGTTCCTGAGACTCTAAATCTGCAGTGCACCTCAGCAGAGGTGTGCAGGTATCCCCACAGGGGTTTCCCTCTGATCTCACATTGCACACCCCAGCAGTAATTCCAACTCGGTGAAGAAAAGGGATTTGTCATTTGACTGCCTGCTTCCCTTTACCCCCCCCCCCCCCCCCCTTTCAGAAGCGAAGCTGAGCTCTGATTTATCGTGAAGTTTCCCCAGGCTCGCTCAATCTCAGGGCCTCACCGAATTACTGAACGAAGAGACCTGCTCCCTGAGAGAATGACCTTTTCTTGAAAGATTATTACCCGGGCCAGCAAAGGAAGGAGGGGTGGTGGTGGTGGTGGGGTGGGGGGCTGATTAAGGTTGAGTCTTTTCTGCTCAGTCATCCGTTCCCTCGTTTTCAGGGTTTGTTAAGTGTACAGCTAATTTCCTTGCATCAGCTTTTGCATCAAGAGGACTTTCCACACTTTCCATTTATAACGTTGGCATCTGAAGCAGCTTAACAATTTGTCTTTGTAATCACCTATTTTCCTGTGAGGGGTTGTCACGTATAATTACCAGTGGTCGTGCCATCTTCTGAAATCTGTCTAATTGGACTTTTCTCCCTAACAGGATGATGGGGTATGAGACTGGGGGTTAGGGTCAAAGGGTTAAGAACTGGGTCTCTCAGCTCACTGAGGAAGGAGGGACAGAACAGCTACAATCATTAATATTAATTTGTCTTCATGCTTCCATTCAAGAATTACGATAAATTAAAAATTATCCTGCTGCCAAATTGCAATGGATGCATCATCGTTTGACTGGAAAGGAAAAGCAGGACGATGACGAGATTGTGTGATCCGGTCCACAGATCAAAGACACTTTTCTTCTTGACGTGTCTGCTCGAGAGCTTATCTTTAGGTTCTCTGCCACATTAAAGCCGTATAGGGAGCATTTAATCTACTGTTTTAATGAGCCGTGGGTTCGCTTCAGGAAGGAATTAGTGACTCTAACTAAACTATGGAAAGAGTTTTTGTTTGTCTTGCATAAAGCTGAGGGGGGATTAGAGGAGTGAAAAAGACTCCACCGTTTCCTGAGCTGTCGCAAAACATTTTCTTTGTGATGCCTAAAAATAAAAGTTTCAAAGAGTCTCCAGCTCACTCATTCCAAATCTGTTATTGGTTTGAGTCAAGCTTTTTCAAAAGGTTGGGCTGCATAGCTCATTGGGCTTTAACAGCGTGTCCCAGTGAGTATACTGGGATGAGGATAAGATAAGCCTGTGTTACCCTCTAATGCTACCTTGGCATTTGCCAGACTTTACCTCACGCAGTGTGTTTCTATTACCTTGGCACCAGTGATGAGTGAGGGCAGATTTAAGTCAGTCCAAGGCTTTCTCCCTCCCACCCGGAGCTGCTCTCAAAGATAAGACCTAATTGGGCTTAAAGCTTCGTTTTGTGTTCAGCCTTTTCACTCATCTGACAGATTTCAGCAAATTTACAACTTTGTTTACTTGTAATGAAAAGAAATTTGCATTTTTTGTTTTCTCTGCAGTATTTATTGAATATTTAAGTGTTTATTGTTGCCACTATTAAGACTTTTACTTTTTAAATTCTCTATATATTTGTTAAATTAAATATATAAGTGAGTTACTACCCGCTAGCCACCAAAGCTGCAACTACTAAGCTGACTAACCAACCATAGATAACGTCTTTGGATCTAAAAAAAAACATTTTAAATTAGTTGACTTACTTTTAAACTTGAAATTTGCTCCGAAGTAGCTGCCGGCTTCTGATCACCATCCTTTTGAAAATACCACAATGTATTCTGGGAAAATTTTTGACTAAGGCTAGGCTACAAGACACCTCCTGTGTATCCTTGCTCAGCTACCGAAATGGCTAACAAACGGAGAACACATGCCTCAGTAGAAAAGGAACATTGGAACACGTCTTGGCGGTTCATGATTACGTATCTCCTAGGCAACTGGGGCGGGGCCAAGACATCAAGGCGAGGTTCCTTGGCACTGAGAAACACCCTGTGACTCAACTAGGGCTGCAGCTATCCAATATTTTTGTAATCGGGTACTCTATCAAATCTTTTTTCGATTAATGGAGTACTCTAATAAATGACCCTTTTGTGTTTGTAAACCATTATATCAAATAGCATGTTATAAAATATGAAAGACCTCTTAAAATGAGCAAGCAATTGCCAGTTATTCTTCAAGTTTTATTCAAAATTAGTTTTCAAAACTTCAGCACTTCAACTTTACTTCACAGTAAACAAATGTCTGTGCAAAAAATAAGTATACAACCTGAGCCGATTTTCCCCTCGTGCGAGAATCTACTAGCCTGCAAGCCAGGCAAAAACTAGGAGGATAACTGTTTAAGTAGCGCTGCGAGCAGCTGCGGCCCAAACAGAACCAGAACCGCTCACAGCGCATGCGCAAACAGCTCGCCAGCTGTTTCCCTGTTAACTAGGGCTGTAGCGAAGCCTCGACGAAGTCGACGGCTCGATTCTAAAAATTTGTCGACGTCAGATCCGGAAGTCGACGCACCGCGCCCACTTGTTGCATCCCCAGGAGTTTGTAAATAGAAGAGGAATCTGCCTGTTTTTCCTCTAGTTCGCCCTCTTCTCCGCCTTCACTAACATCGCCGCCAAATACCGAAGACCCGGAACAACGTCCGTCCACTACTAGATTATTTTCCTGTTTTGCCCCTTCATCTCCCGGCAACGGACAACAACTTCCGGGGTCAGATGCGCTGCTCCGTGTCTATTGCAGATGTAGAAAATCACCGGGAGCGCTTCTCCCTTCATTAAGGAGCTTCTTTCAGACATGAGGAGAGCTGTTTTGGTGGTAGCAGTCTCTCCTCCGTGCTGGTCTGTTTGCTGCTGGGTGTTTTTGGTTTATTTAAACTTGGTAACTTGAACTTAACGTTGGCAAAGCTACTGTTAGCATCTTCGCTAACAGCTTCTTGCGTTGGGATAAGCTGTTACGTTTTGGTTTAGAGTTCATCTTTTTTGTGGTGCAGATCTCCCTTTTATTACATTTAGAGTGTTGTGGGTTTTCGGTTTAGTGTAAAATATCACCTGAGTTTGGTTTAACCCGTAAGACCACTCGCCTCACGCACATAAGTGACCAAAACAAAGCAGCATGGAGACACTCCATCTTCTACCACCTCTCAGGCAGCAGCCTACACTCCCACGTTCTACACGTCACCAGAACATAACCAACCAACACAATAAACGCAGTGTTATACAAAATGGAAGGCCTGTAGTGTTTATTCTCTTACAGTAACAATTTATCAATTTTTTTGAGGAATTTATTTGAGATTTTCTGGTTTTTGTTAATTGTGCAATAGAAAAATAATCATTAGATTAATTTTCTAAATAGTCATTAGAATAGTCGACTATTCGATAAAATAATCGTCAGAATAATCGTTTTAAAAATAATCGTTTACCCCCAGCCCTACTGTTAACACACGTCCGTTTTAATTTCTACACTTTTTTCTCACACAATAACAAGGATTGTCGAGAAAGCATGTTTGCTGTGGTTTTGTCAAATTATACTGATCACACAACATTTATTTACTTTCTTTCGTTTTCCTCCACCACTCATAAATACCCGTGTCCTCCTGCAGCAATCCCGAGGGACAACAAATATCAATAACAACACAATAAAAAGTCTGACAAGTTGTGTAAAAACTGCTATTTTTTAGCACATTTTAAGTCCAACGTGTTGCTAGCAGACGCACAGTGTGAGTTGAAACTAAGTGCTACAAACGAAAATGTTGCACAGTGTCCGCAGAATACATAGAAATACAGGCTAAAACGCATTATCTTGTGGAGGCTCCGAGTCCGCTTGCAGAAGTGACATTTACAGGTGCTGCAGCATCAAGGATGTGGTGTTGTGGTAGGCTAAATCCATTTTACAGTATTTACGCTGTACTACGTTTTCCGCCTTACGATGTGAAAAATGGTCCCACACCTTTGACATTTTCTGTCTTTTTTGCACTCCACCAGGGTCCACGTTGTCCGCCATGGCTTAAGAGAAAGTTAAGTTACATTCGCT